AGTGTTCTGTTTAAAATCACCATTTTTTTTATGTTATGTGAATTTCACTTCGATTTTTAAAAAAAAGGCCAGGCACAGTGGCTCATGCCTGTAATCCCAGCACTTTGGGAGGCCGAGGTTGTTGGATCACCTGAGGTCAGGAGTTCTAGACCAGCTTGGCCAACATGGCAAAACTCTGTCTCTACTAAAAATAGAAAAATTAGCCAGGCGTAGTGGCACGTGACTATAATCCCAGCTACTTGGGAGGCTGAGGCAGGAGAATTGCTTGAACCTGGGAGGTGGAGGTTGTAGTGAGCCGAGATCACTCCACTGCACTCCAGCCTGAGCAGCAGAGTAAGACTTTATCGCATTTAAAAAAAAATAAATAAATGTGAGTGAGGGACAGCTTCCCCAACAATGTGTAGAAAGTAGAATTTTTGCAAACTAAGTGAAAATAGAGTGTCGTTGATGGGGATCTGAGTTGTGGTTTTTAATCCAGAATATAGATAAATCAACCCAGCTAAAATTCAACTCAACTTGGTTTATGAATCTAGACAACTTTTAAAATTATCAACTTGAGTTTCGAGAGCTACACAATGTAATGGCGTAGATCTTTGTTTTGGAAGAATCCAGTTACCTTGAATTGCTTAATGAGATAAAAACAGAAAATAGAGGTTATCTGATCATCTAGTTTTTGTAGTGTTTTCTTCTTTTGATCCCATTTAGAATCAAAGGATTACAGGGCTGGGCACAGTGGCTCACACCGGTAATCCCAGCACTTTGGGAGGCCGAGGTAGGCGGATTACCTGAGGTCAGGAGTTCAACACCAGCCTGGCCATTATGATGAAACCCCGTCTCTACTAAAAATACAAAAATTAGCTGGGTCTGGTAGCACATGCCTGTAATCCCAGCTATTTGGGAGGCTGAGGCAGGAGAATGCCTTGAACCCAGGAGGTAGAGGTTGCAGTGAGCTAAGATCAGGTCATTACACTCCAGCCTGGGCAACAGAGTGAGACTCTGTCTCAAAAAAAAAAAAAAAAAAAAAAAAAAAAAAAAAAAAAAAAAAGCAATATAAAAAAAAAAAAAAAAAAAAAAAAAAAAATCCAAGGATTAAAAAACTATTTTGATGCTCTTTATGATTTGAAACAAAACATGTATGCAGTGTCTAGAGTGGGAATTTAAATTTGAACAACTTCCTTGGATAGAAAAATTATCAAAGTGTACCAGGTGACAAAGGTGTTTCTGCTTAGCCATCCAGTATTTTACTTGCTTACTTACTTACTTATTTATTTATTTTGAGAGGGAGTGTCAAGGTTGTTGCCCAGGCTGGAGTACAATGGTGCAGTCTCGGCTTACTGCAATCTCTGCCTCCCAGGTTCAAATGATTCTCCTGCCTCAGCCTCCTGAGTAGCTGGGATCACAGATGCCCACCACTATGCCTAGCTAATTTTTGTATTTTTAGTAGCATCGGAGTTTCACCATGTCGACCAGGCTAGTCTTGATCTCCTGACCTCGTAATCCGCCTGCCTCGGCCTCCCACAGTGCTGGGATTACAGGTGTGAGCCACCGTGCCCGGCCATATTTTACTTCTTTTTCTTCTATGGAAGCAAATCAAAATGTGGGGAAACTTTATGCAAGATTACATTTACAGAGAAAAATTGTTAGAATCACAGATGTTTAAAATGAAGAGAATGGTTGAATTAGCACTAACCATCAATGGAATATTGATCAGTCATTAAAAATAACATTTATGAAGAGGTTGTAAAACAGCTAATGTGACACAATTGTAAGTGATAAAATACGGAATTTTAAAAATGTGATCAGTCATATTAAAGAAACGTAACCTGTTCATGGGGGAGAAAAGGCCAAAAGGAAAAGTTTAAGAGTAGTTTTTGTTGAGGAACTTGCCTGATGTCCCGTCTGCAGCTACATTTTGCATTCTCCAAATGTGTAATAATAACGAAAGTTATCATAACAGTGGCTGGCATTTGATGGACACTAGTTCTGTACCAGGCACTGTACGCCCTTATGTTATTTATTCCCTTTATGGCATTTGGAAACAGGAGCTTTCATAAGCCCATTTCACAGGCAGTGGAATTGAGGATCAAGAGCTAATAGAATTTGCCCTGGGTAAAGACTAGTCAGTGGCAAATTCTAACTAACAGTTCAATTCCAGACCTACATCTTAACTGCTATGCATGCAAAACATGTAATGAGCATTAAAGAGATATGCAACATGTGTTCATGTATCCGTGGTTCGGTTAGTGGAAGATTGAATGAGTAGCCTGGGGACGTTATTTCTGGATCTGTTCCTGCCTCACTCTGTGATTAAAATTCAGTCAGTTTGCTTTTGGTGTCAGTTTTTCCATCTTTGTAGTAAGGAAAACGGAACCTCCCACTTGCCTGATTCTTTATGCTTATTAACCTGCTTATGCACCTGTAATAAGTTAGTCTACAGTGTTATTGCCATTAGCTGGAGGATAATGTGGCTTTGTGAAAAAATGCATGGGTTTAAGGATTAGGCAGATCCAGCTGCAAATCCTTTGGATGCTCAAATTCCCTGAGCCTCAGTTTCTACAACTGTAAAATGGGGCAATAACATGTACCTTGGGGGTTGCAAGGAGGGATGAATGAGATGCTCTATATACGGTGAAGGAGGATGGTTCTCCTTTCAATAACTGCTCTTTCCCTGCCCTGTTTCACTGTACCTTACCTGATCAAGCTTTGAGTACAAAAGAACGAGGCCCACGTAAGTTTCCTGTCATTTTTTTGCACGTTTTACGAAAATAAACTGAAAACAAACCAATAGTGGCAAATCATCAGCACTCAGGCCTGAATAGAAGAAAGCAGAGGAAACAAAATGGAATGATCCTGTAGGAATGAGGACAGAGGACATTCTTTCCATCATGCTTTGGACTCATGGAAACTTTTCTGGCAGGTCCAGAATGTAACAGGATACCCCACAGAGGGGTAGAAGACACATGCTCCCTTAACCTTTCATCCAGTCTTTTTTTTTTTTTATGGAACCCTTTATGAATTTGCATGTCATCCAGTCGTTTAACCTTTAACCAACTCTGGTGAGAGCGGCAAGTCAGTTTCCTGACTGGGTTCAATGATATATCTGAGAAATTTGTTGATTTATATGTATTAAGAAATACAAATCGGCTGGGTGCAGTGGCTCACCCCTGTAATCCCAACTCTTTGGGATGCCAAGGCAGATGGATCACTTGAGGTCAGGAGTTTGAGACCAGCCTGGCTAACATGGCAAAACCCCATCTCTACTGAAAAATTTAAAAATTAGCTGAACGTGGTGGCACATGCCTGTAATCCCAGCCACTTGGAAGGCTGAGGTAGGAAAATCACTTGAATCCAGGAGGCAGAGGCTGCAGGGAGCCGAGATTGTGCCACTGCACTCCAGTGTGGGCAAGAGTGAGACTCTGTCTCAAATATATATATATATATATATATATATATATATATATATATATATATAAGTGTTCTGTTTTTGGTAAAACATCTATGTCAGTACATATGTATATATTTCAATAATAGATTAAGGCACTGTTTCTCAGAGACTTTGGTGGATCGTTTGGGGACAGGGTTGTTTTTAACAAAGTTGCTTGGCAGTAGATAAGAGTTTGGAGATGAAAGTGAACCCTAGATTGGAGATTGCAGTGTGTGATAGGAAAGAAAGCAGCAACAGCACTCCTTAAAGTCAAGGTAGCTGGCATTTAGTGAGCATCTACTATGTGTCAGGCTTTATGTCTTCATGTACATCCTCTTTCTCTTGCTAACATGCTTCCCTGTTCATACATTTTTTAATTGTGATATATAACATAGACATTTTAAAAACATATAGCTGAGCTTCATGCGTTACTTGAAGATAACCAAACTTGTCACTACCACCCAAGTTTTGACAGTTTTCGCCCCGTGTATTTTGAAGCTACGTTATTAGGTGCTTAAACAATTAGGATTGCTCGCTCATTATCAAATGTTGCAAGAAGTGATGCATGCTAAGAGCTAAAGAGTCCCACCTTTGCTATTTCTGTCTCTGACAGCAGTTCCTCAAAATGAAGTTTGTTGCCAGAATGTGCCCTTTTTGTAGGCACATGAATAATGCCTGCTCAGTCAAGGTAGGAAGATGGGATTTCCTGTGTTAGGAAATTCTCTACATCCTTCCACATAAATCACATAGGGGAGGAGGTGTAAAGCCATGACTAAGTAGTTAGACTTTAAATTCAGACAGATCAACCACTTATATGCTGTGTGGCTTGGGCAACTCACTTAACCCCTCTGAAAGCTTCCGTTTTTGTCTTCTTTAAAAAGAACATTAAGAATTCTATGAGGCCAGGCTCGGTGGCTCACACCCATAATCCCAGCACTTTGGGAGGCTGAGGCGGGCGAATCACGAGGTCAGGAGTTTGAGACCACCCTGATCGTTTGGTGGAACCCCGTCTCTACTGAAAATACAAAAATTAGCCGGGTGTGGTGGCACACACCTGTAATCCAAACGACTCAGGAAGCTGAGGCAGGAAAATCACTTGAATCCGGGAGGCAGAGGTTGCAGAGAGCCGAGATTCCACCATTG